GATGTGCTCAGTTGTTTGAGAATCTAAAACTCAGCCATCTACAAATTCAATCTAAATATCTAGCATCAAACCCTTGGATCCTGCCCCAGGTCACTACAGTGACTACTGTTTGTATTAAAATAATTTTTCCAGGTATCTGGACATCCAAATAGATTAATAGATTAACCCAATAGATTTAGCATATAAAAATCATCAGTTGTGCGTCTTCAATGTAATTGCCTGAGTTATGCAATTTCACTGTTACCTATTTCTAACAATATTTGGTATTTTAGGTTTAAAATCATGTTAAAATTGAATGTTCAAAACATAGAAGCTTTCAAAAAGCTCCTAAGCTCCTGCTTTTTTTTTTTTTTTTTGTGCAGAAGAAAATACAAGGAACTGTGGCAAATAATTAAACATTCTAATTTGAGATAATCTTTGATTAATGAAGAAGCTGCTTTCAAATGCTCTTCTCTGGCTCTAATAATTGATCTCTAATTGTCTCATCTAAAGGTTATATATTGCCTTTCCTCCTGCTTGTGTCCTCCTAATGCCTTATAACTTGGATCAAGCTATTAGCAATGTTCATTAATTCCTCTGGAAAATGCTGTGAACTTTCCAAACTGAAAAAAAAAAAAAGTTCTTTCTAAAACCAAGTTTAATTTTGTGTCAGTGTTGAGACTCTTGAGAAAATCACACCAAATGATGTCACAAACATAATGTGTAATTTTTCAGTTCTAAACTATTAAAGAATTTACATCTAAACTATTTGAGGATGTTGGACAGAGGAGGTGTAGGAGGATAAACTAATTAAAGATAACAGAACAGATGCTTTTTGTTCTCTTAATACATGCAAACAGGTGGTGGATTTGCAATAAGTGCCTTTATGCAAAAATTGGAAAACTGTGGAATTTAGGATCTTGTGAAGTGTTTGTGAGGATAGAAAAACTCAGGGTTGTTACAAAGGAATTTTACTTGGATCTCTAACCAGTTGGTTACATGTAAACATTTATTTCATTGTTTACCTGAGAGATGAGGCTTTTCATAAGCTTTAAATTCATTTCTGGAATAAACTACACTTTAATCTTATTTTACTTTAGTTAGACAAACCCTTTTAACCTGTTGCTTAGCAGAGTTCCTTTTGTAAAGCCAAAGGAATATAGCTAAACTTCTTTGTTGTTCCTATTAGATATTGAATTATGTTCCCTAAATGTTTGTGTGTGTCTGGTGCTTGACCACAGCAGGACAGCACCAAAGGCTTGCGATTATCCAGCACATTTTCTTCATAGTTTGATATTAAAATGTGCATAAGGTACTTGCATGAGCACAGGTTTTTACAAATCTGTCTAACTGATACAATTTGAAAATGTTGTTGCTTTCTTTGCTCCTGAAATTTTCAGTCTAATTTAATTGAAAAGTGAAATACTTATTCATGTGCTGCTTTCCCCAATTTTGGCTTAATTGTTTCCAGTCTGTACAGCCTGGCTGTCTGGAGATGTTTATTACCAAGTAAATGTATTCTGCAAGGAGAGAGCTTGGCTAAATTGCTGGAAAGAAAAATTCTACAGCCTGACCTTATCAAGGCAGGATCCAGAAGGTTCTTATTTTTCATTTTGACTGCGGACTGTTAGTGAGGCAAAAAACAATCCAAAGAAGTTAACTAAAGTCTATCACAACAGGCAGTGGCTCTGGGGGAAGGGAAAAAAAGAAAGGGAAAAAAACCCAAAAAAAGGTACTGTCAAACACTTATAATACATTCTGCAGGATAGCAGAAAAAAGCATTACATATCCTGAATGATACAAAGATATTTTCTTCTGGCTTTTGAAAACACAAATTTCTTCCAGGCAAATGCACTTGGCATTTAGGGAATCTTTTAATATACTTTAAGTATATGATAACACAAAATGAGAGTGCAGCATCAAAGTGTTCAATAATCTATTTTGAGTGATCTTTAGCAACTCTTGTAAGCATTTATAGCTTGCTAGAGGGAAATGCATTTTTCAAAGATCATGAGCAGTCCCTATGGAGACCTGTAACCTTCCTCAGAGCAATTCACCACATCCTGATAGGTCTGATCACAGCACAAGGGAGACAGCCAATGGAAAGGAAACGCTCTGGGAATATTAATGGAGCCCTGTGCCTGCTGAGTCACCGCCTGGAACCGGAGAGGGGGCAAACAAAGGGTTATTTCGGGATTATAAATATCAATATGGAGTTAAATGTTGGCTAAAGCTTTGTTTAAACCTTGGCCAGTTTGTGGTCTGATCTGCTGCCTAATCAGTTTATTAGTGAATCAAGCAAAGATAAAAGCTGTGCTGAGGGAGGGCTGGGAGGTTGGACTCTGGGGCTCAGGGAAGGAGGAGTGAGTGTAAGGATAGCAAAAACCTCTGAGCAGCACAAGAACCTGCTTGTTCCCCTGGACAGAGTTTGGTACTGCTGTGTTCCCGTGCAGCCTGCTGGGAATGACTTTATTTTGTGAATAAAGCTCAAGGTTTTCTCCTCACCTCTGGCCCCTTGCAAGAGCCGTGCTGTGCCCTGGTGGCCTTAAAACTTGTTGCTTTTCTCGTGTTATTTGGCATTAGAGAGTTTCCCAGGATGTTCAGCTGTGCCAAGGAGAATGCCACTGTTTCTGTGTGTGCTGTTAAACCCTCTCGGAGAGAAAGCTGCAGAATGAGTTTCTTATCACAGGATACGTGTGACTATATCCCCTCCCTAAGCCACTGCTGGCCTCCCTCAGGTGTCACACACCACTTTGTCACCATCCTTTATGTGCTGTTGGTACCTCTGCTCATTCCAGGCCATCCAGAACAGTAGCATGCTATTCAAATCAGGCAGAGCCCAGCCTTGCAATTCCAGCTTTTGGAGGGTCCAGATCTGTATGATTAACCTGTACTGTGCTATGTGTAGCCTTTGGATTTTATTTTATAATTTATTTTATTTTAATTTCATTTTTCATACAGCCCGCATGTAGTACAAGCTCAGCTTGTTATTTTCTGTCCTGCCTTTTCTTCCTTTCCCCATCCCTGAGCCTTGTTCCAGGTGGTAACTGCTGCAAGAGTTTAAAAACAAGAGTGAAAAGTGTGAAGTGCATTCACTTTTATGGAGCTGCAAACAAGGGAAGGGGGAAGGAGGGGAAAGGTACCAGGATCGTTTGTCTGCCTCAGCTCAGTTCATGTCCTCAGCTATTTGTCAGCCTGCAGTGGTGTGAAGAGCATCATAAAAGACGTGCTACACAAACATTTAGGATAAAAGTAAAGTTCCAGCGTTGTGGGAAGCCTCTCAGTGAGCTGTTGTTGTATCCCATTGCAGCTGATGTCTGATTTCCCCTTTCTCAGAAGCTCTGTGACCACAGGCAGGAAATGTGCCACAGGCAGATGGAGAAGTTGGTGGTTGTGTTGCTCTGTGAGATCTGGACACACAGCTGGTCACTTGGGGGATGAGGAAACTGGCTAGCAGCTGGTCACTTCCATCTGATATGGAAACACCTTTGGATGCACCCTGCAGAAGGAGCAGTTAGGAGCTTGGCTGGAAATTCATCCCCAAGGTGCTTTGTTTGATTTTTAGGATTTTATAACATATAGCAAGCAGCTGCCATGAGAAAAGGGGGTCCCACGTCCCCCATTTTTCTTTCAGTCTCTCAAATGCCCCCTTGGCCATCACACTACTGCTCCTTCAGGAAGGGACAGGCATGTCCCCCCTCCTGTCCCTGCCTTTGGTGGAAACCGCTCCAAATGTCCTTGCTTGTCCTTGTCCTTATCCGGAGCAAACATGGAGACCAAATATTTGACCAGAGGTTGGGGAAATCTCTTATTCTTTGCAAAATATTAAGATCAACAACAGTGATAACCCATTCCTTATAGCAATAGGCTTTTAAAAAAACCAATGTGTGTGTGCATCCAGCCTGGAAATGCAGGTGAGGGCACCCGAGCTACAGTCATCTTTTATTAGTAGCAGCTAACTTGGAGGCACACAAGGAAATTTCATCTATTCAAAATGTGTTCTCCTGCTGCTGCAGCTACCATGGAGTTATCAGAGCTGTGGGGAGTTACTGCTCTTGTTCCCTTTACGTGGAAATCACTGGACTCTCATTCCCTTATTGTCCCTCTCTGGGTATTACTATTATCAGTGCAGCAGTGCAATAGTTCTCTTTAAATGTTGCTGCAGAAAAGTAAATAATTTTTTATTCCTGTGGATTTTTTTTTTCATAGAGGCACTACTTTGAGAATAGATTTTAAAGGACAAATATTATGTTTAATGACTCAGAAAGAAATGAAAATTATTACTAATACAGAGCCTGAAGAAAAATAACACTAGGAGCAGGTGACATAACAGGAAAAACCCATATCTATTTAGATAAGATGTGCTTAACAGTCTGACTGAAAAGAAAATAGGAAAAATCCATTCAGACATGGAGGAAGGTTTCAGGAGCTCATTTTGGCTACTCAAAGAGCAATTAATTATTTAGCAGGAGCTACTAATGACTGCTTCATAAATAAAAAAAAAATAAACACTGGATCATCATTATAGGGTGTGAAGTCTCTATAAAGTAAAGTTTAATGGACTGAGTGAGGGTTTTTTAGTCTTAATCAGACCAAAAGTTAAAATCAGACAGCCAGAGCAATCCACTCCTGCAAAAAGGTCAAATATACATGTTCCCTTCAAATAACTTCAGAGGTAAAAAGCAACTCAGCTGGTGCTGAGGGGGAGGGAGGAGAACCAGTTAAGTGAGGTGCAGGTGTAGGGCATCCTTATCACACAGGGTTTAAATGTGACATGAGGTAACAGAGGAGTTTTCGGTCAGAGCAGGGCTGTTGATGGAGTGGAGAGAAAACAAAAGTGATAAGACAGTTGTTATAGCAAGCTCAGCAGGGAGGAGACCAAAGGTTTTATGCTGTTGTTTACTGAGCGATTGCTGTGAAGCCCGAGGTGAAATGCCATCACAAGGTGCAGATGGCATGCTTTAAAAAATAGCTGTGGGGCTTGCCTTGTAAATACAGACAATCCTGGTTTTTCTGAGCATCTGTGCCTGAGCAAAGTCTGTGCTGCAGGTGCAGCGTGTGCTGCTTGGACAGTCATTGCTTTGCTGCTCCTTTCCTGACTGCAAGAACCACATTTTCCTGCCTGAGGGTCTTCCAGGCCATCTCATTGTGGGTAAGACCTGCCTGTTCCTGTTAGAGAGAATCCTCCTTTTTTTGCTGGATCATTTTATCCTCTTGACGGCAAGAAGGCTCAGGGCTAGCAGTGCCAAGGCAAGATTTCGTGACCTTATGGACCCAGTGTCCTGGCATCCCATCTGGCGTGGGCTGACTTTGCTTTAGGGTGCCCTTGTTTATTTGTTGTCGTCACATGCCTTCAGAAGAAGGCATATGTTTTGTTAAATGAATTTGTTACAATTTTTACTGGTGTTCCTGTGGAAAAGCTCACACAGTTCCTTCTGGTCAAGGGACAAGGCTTGAGTGGTCTCTGGTCAGTCTGGGAGGGGCAGTGGTGGATGGCAGATGGGCACAGCAAATAACTGGGGAGCAGGCTGAGATAAAGCACTATCAAGGATGTGGCTGGCAGCGGGTGCTCACTGTGGTTACAAGGCAAGGAAGCTGCTGGTATGGGAAATATGTTTTCGTGCCCATCCCTCAATCCCTTCTCTGTCCCAAGTACCCACACAGCCCTTAGTTACAGACACACAGAGCTCCTTTTATTCTTCTTTTTCCTCCCCTAAACTGTCAGATGTCCCTGCCTTCCCATCATGCTCCTAACATCTCCTTTGAGAGGGTGAGAGCTGAGCTCCCTCGGCTGCATTCTCTGCCCCATAGACCTGTGCCCCCTGGGACTTTGGCCATCTCGTGTGGCCTCATTCCCCTGTACATTGGTCTTGTTGCAACTTACAGCAGCTCCTTCTCCTCTTCCTGTCCTCTGGCTGCTTCACAGCAGCACAGGGAAAAAAAAAGAAAAAAGCAAAAAAAAAACTAAAAAAAACCCACAAAAAATAGCACAGGGAAAAAAAAGAAAAAAGCAAAAAAACACTAAAAAAAACCCACAAAAAAATCCCCCCCCCTCCCCCTTGATCCTTGAACTTAGGGGCAAAGGATTTTTGTCTCTGTTTTCCTTTCATTCCAGCAGAAGGGTTGAGAAGAATAGTTGGGAAGAAAGGGTCAATATTCCAATTCTCATAAAAGTCTGCCAGCATATGGGCTTTGCCAGCACAGCTGCTTTCCTGCCACCATCCACAATCAAGATTAAAATGCACCATGCTCATTCAAAGGGAAATGCAGTGGGAAAATTTTCACTCCACTGTTTGTGCAGTTTTATTTCCAAAGGCAAATTGAAAAGTCGCAGTGTATTTCAGCTTGGTTTGACCTAAATGGCCAACCAAACAAGAAATAGAAACCCCTTTTGGGCTGTGTTTGACTTTGGATCCCTTTTGCTTCAGTAGCTGAAGTGCCCCAATCTCCTGCTTCTTTCCCAGACCAGACTCCTGGCAGGATAAAGTTTCTTGAGCAGCAGTCCCATTGTCTTGCTGGTGGAGTAAACAAGCTGAGTTAGTGAGAAGCCCCAGAAAAAGTCATTTGACAGTGCAAAAGAGGGCAATGATACTCCAGGAACTGATGGATAGAGGTCAGCTCTATTTTAGGTCAATATTAAGTGCTCCTTGTGGTTGTTTTGTTGGGCTTTTTTCTAGCAAAGAAGATGAAATGTTACAGTTCAAGAGTGTCACATCTACTGGTGCTTACTGAAAATGGAAATCCAGATAATAAACAAGCATTACTGCAGGGGTCTGGGCACACAGAACTCCAGGATGGAGATGTATCTCTGAATTACATTGTTAGTCCACAACTCTGACCCTCCTGCCCCTATATCTCTCCTCACAGTTCTGTTATATATTTTGGTGGTTTTTCTTTCTTTTTTTTTCTTTTTTTTTAACCCTTCTCTGAAACTTCACAGAAGCCGGATGGAAACATTTTTTCTTGTCTTATATTCCTGTGTTCTAGCCATGTGTAGCAATAGGTGTCACTCAAGCTTGAATGGAGGGGATTGAGCAAATAGGTGGCTGGTTTGAGATGATGTTTATAGAGAGAAAAAAGAGATATCAACTCTCTTCACTCCTGATTTCACCTTCAATTCTTCTTCTGTTTTCCACCCTGGCAAATTTGCATTCCTTGTAAATTCCCACCACTCCCTCTGCCACATGGTGGCAAACACTACTGGCTCCTTGCTGTTCCACTATTGATTGTCTCCTTCGTGAAAGTAAAAGAGTTTGGTCTAAAACCACTTTCATTACAGCTGTGTTTATTTTCCTGTGCCCATATGGAAGAGGGGTGCTTCTTAATTTAATCAAAGATTTAAATTTCACCATGGTGACAAAGGAAAAGATAATAACAGGAGAAATAATTATAGGTACACTTGGTTTTTGGTTAACTTGAAGATCATGTGGCTGGTGGGGTCAGAGTCTGGGGAGCCAGGCGCGTGACTGTGGCTGTTTCTCCATGCAGCAATGAGTATTTGCTCAGGAGTTTCATCACCCCTCCCAGGAGCGGTTGCCGACCACAGGGTAACGTGGTTTCACTGGAGAGGAGAAAAGATGAGTTTTCTATGTAAAATTACTTTTAGCACCATAGCGCTTCTTGACACGGAGGTCAATAAGTTCCTAAATTACTCTAAGTAACTGAGGCTATTATGATTCCTCTCTGTCACATCCCCTTGCTGCAGCTGTGACACTGTGCTGTATAACTTATTTAATTATACAGTGGTGGTTGCTGCTGCATGTCTGTTGTTGGGGATGTTATGAATATTTAGATTTTTTTTTTTTTTTTCTCTCCAGTTCTGTAATTTAAACAAATTCACTGAAGTGTATTTAACCTGAAGTAATCTAGGCTGCATGCTGCTTTGGGCTGTGCTGTTTTAGAAACTTCTTTCTGTACAATCATACCCAAGCAAAGCAATTTCTTTGGTGTAAGGACGGGAAGGGAATCCGCTCTTACACACTGCGCAGTTCTGGAGTTCCTCTTTTGTTTGTTTTCCAAACCAGCCTCAATTATGACATTATTGGTGCTTTCAGTGGGTGTATTTTGACAGCCTGGACCTGTGCTGTGTGTGCACACCCCCAGTTTTCCTCCCCAAAGTGTGCATTAGGACACCAGCCCCCACATATCAAAGGTCTGTGGGCTGAGCTGTGTTTGGCAATCTGGAGAACAGCTATTGGAGGGCAGAAAGGGCAGGACATTTCCATGATAAACCCTTTTCCCTCGAGGATACGGCGTAAAATAGGGATTCATTGTGTGCCTGTCAGCACTGTGCTGGGTAGGAAGACTGTGAGTAACGTCTTGGAATATTTAAAGAAAATGTTTTTAATGGGAGGGTTAAGGAAACTACTTTTTCTTTTTTAAATTTTATTTTACAAAGACATCAAGACAGAGGGGAGATCCATAAAAATATAAGTGAATCTAAACCAGGACAAATTATCATTCTTATAATTAAGCCTAATGGACCTTCCTGAGGAGGTTTGATGACTTGCTAATATTAACTTTTTTTATTTTTTATTATTTAGTCAGTAAATTATGCATAAAGGACAAAACTGAAATAATCACCCAGACATTCATGTCACTTGTGCCTGACTAATTCTCACCCATTGTCTTTCATAGCTTTAAAATGGGAAATAAGTAGTAGAGGCCAATGTTTGATAGGGGCTGATAAATTATGGAAAAATGACTCTTTTTTTTCTTAATATAAGTTGCATGTGATCTTTTTGAATATGAAAGGTTGCCTACAGTCATAGTTGAGATTTTACATTGAATCAGGGTGTAGTACAAGCAAGTCCTGTGGGAGAGCAATAGAACAAAGAAAGAAGAAAAAAGTAAAAATATACTGACTTCATATCATCTGTTAAGTCAAACATTTTAATAAATTTTCCTGGAAAGAAAGAAAACCTGGTCTAGTGGGAGGTGTCTCTGCCCATGGCAGGGGTTGGAACAATGTGGCCTTTAAAATCCCTTCCAACCCAAACCATTCTGGCATTATATGAAAACACCTGAACAACATTTTTTGGAGTAGGTAGTGGACACAAATTTTTTCTCTTAAAATATTCGTTTTTTCTCTAAGCTGCATTTAAAAAAAAATTGGTAAGGAGCTATGTTTATCAAAGTGGGAAGTGCATTTTCCTCTGATAGGTCTGAATTTTAGTTTGAAGATGTTACTGAATATTGTTTTCAGTTACAAGGAGATAAAGTGTGCTGTTCTTATACAAATGTGTTTGTTCTACATGTAGAAAACAACAAATGACTCATTAATTACTGTAAAAGAGTTGCACAGGACTCTGGAAAAGAAAAATACAATAATACCAGTCAGAGTTAAGTGGGCTGGAAAAAGCCAACCCCAAGCATTTCTGGGATTTTTCTCTGTGAAGCCTAATTCCCACTCAAAGGGAAAAAGTACTTTCTTATGCTGGTCTCAGAATTGGATCTCTGGGATTTCATTCCCCAACAGGATTTTGATTGATTTTATTTTAGTAGTTTTGCCTTATTTAATAATATTTGTATTAAATCAGATACCCCTGAGCACTTAATATTTTTTGTCTTCTAGATCTCTGTATTTAATATTATATTTTTTTTTGTCAAAATCTAATATCAATAAGAATCCCAATAAATGTAAGTCATTGATCAGATGCAGCAATGACAGGGAACCAAGAGCCTGATCCAGGAATTGCTGTCTGTAATAGAGACATTTATTGATTTCAGTGAGGTTTGGGTCAGGCCTCAAATGGAACCAAAATCCACCTGTGCTTGCCAGGTGGGTCAGTGAATGACCTGGGAGATGATGGCCACAAATCCATGGCAATAACTGGGTGTCCTTGCTGAAAAATGGTGACTCCTGGGATAAATCATAGGGAGCTGTGCTGTGTTCATGTGGTGTAGAGCAGGGATTCCACAGGATGGATGACAAGAATGAGGTTACAATAACAAACAGTCCTTCAAGCACCCTTATCATCCTCCTCCTGATCACAAATTTCAGGGCAATTACCTCAGTGGTCCCAGGAGATGAACGCTGGAGGCTCTGAAACCCCCTTTAGGCTATATTCAGAAGAGGACAGAGGTGATGGAAATACTTTCTAAGGACCATGGGGGCTGAGCATCACTTAACAAATATTCTTAACTCAAGATTGATCTGTTTAGAGAGCTGAGAAGATTCCTTACCTCCAAGAGGTATGTCACCAGGGAGCAAAATTAAAAAAAAAAAAAAAGAAAAATCCAGGCAATAACTTGAGTCGGAAGGAGATTTTACAGAAAATACTGCACTGGCAATTATTTTACCTAGAAGGAGACAGGGAGACATGGGTTTCAACCCCTCATCTAAGGATTTTTTTACATAATTTACATTAAGTACTTATTATTAAAAATAGAGGGCTCTATCTTTATTATGTGTGTGCTGGACATGCTTTGATAATGGCATTAGGACATCCATGCTGGAGTTGTAAATCAAATAAACAATCTTTGGAAACAAAACCTAGTTCTGCTTTCCAAGTGCTGATACAAGTATTGCTTGGAAAGAAGCTCTCATTAATTCTGTAATTTGGAGAAGTGAAACTTAATGTGTATAATGAGGTGTCTGTATTAGTGATGTGACCATAACTTGCTTTTCTTGTTGGTTCACAACGTCTGGAGGAAATAGAGATCCCTAAGCCAACCTCCCTGGTGTCTGCCAAAGCAGGCGCAGAAGGCACATCTGTGACTGACATCCCAGCAGGGCGCAGAGCTCTTGGATCAGCTGCTCAGCTGTGGAGGAACGGAGGAGCAGTTCCCTGGGGCACAGGGAGCCTGGTCACAGCTTCCTCAGGGTTTTCAGTGGGGTGGCACTTTGGGAGTTGGGGCCACTTGAGCATCACACCCAGCTCCTGGTCTGGGTGTAGCCCTCTGCTTCTTAGAAACCTTGAAAAGCACTCTGAAAAACAAGATGCTGAAATATTTTTTCTTTTTTTTTTTTTTTTTCCCCCAAAACGTTTTTGCCATTTTATTTTCCTTTTTATACCTAAATGATGATTATGGTGAATGAGTGGGAATGACAAATTTGGTGACAATGAGGAGGTGTGAACAACCTGTGTGGAGATGGCATAAAAATAGGATGTCTCCAATAACTCCCAGGGCAGGGTGAACATTAGCAAAATGAAAACTGTTGTTTTAAAGAACTCTGCTGCTATTATTATTTTTTTTTTTAACTCTTCATGTTGGTGGGAGGGGAAAAATTGTTACTGTGTAAGAGATCAGGTCTGGAGGGGTGAAAGATTATGTTCTGGTCATAAAACCAAATGATAGCAGATTAAAGCAGTAAGTAGCATCATGCTGGCCATTTGGCCAGAGTATAAACAGGTTAGGGTTAATTAGCACTAAGGAGGCTGTGCTGTTTGGGGAGTTTATATTTAAATACCAACCGTTGTCCTTCCCATATGTGTTGACAAAGCTCTTCTCAATAGTCATCTGTTGTTCTATCCACAGCTTGTTTCTGATAGCTATATGTAGGATATTTTGGCTTTAAGAAAGAAGAGCTTATGAGATATGTACTTAAAGAGTTCTCTTTCCGAAACAGAGACAAAAAGTGATATTCTCTAGTGGCCCTGGGTTCCTTGTTATGGGCTAATCTAGCCTATTTCAGCCTATCCCCTCTAGGGTTCCTTTGCATCAAGACTCTTGGGGATGTTAAAAAGGCAGAGAATGTTTTGTGGTGTAACTACATATTTCCCTAAACTGGGGCAGCCACCAAGCACCTCACTGAGCCTGCTGCCACAAAACACAGCAGGGAAGTCCTGCCCTAAAGTGCAGAGCATGTGCTGCAAACCTTCTCTGCAAATTGTAAAGCCAAGTGCACAAGTGCTGTCTGGAGCACAGTGGTGTCTCTGAGCATTGCAGCTACAGGACTGTTTTCATATCAAGATCAACGAGCTTGTAAATTTTGCAGTTAGTTTTGGGCGTTCTCTTAGAATTCATGGTCTGTCATATTTCTGATTTCACTTGAGCTTCTCTCCTTTCCCAGGAGAAACAGATCTAAACCAGCAGGATATTTGGCGTAGCTGAAAGGAAATATTAATTCAAGGCCCTGATTTTGAAAGCTGTGTTTGCCTGACACCTGCATCCTGCCTGCTCTGCCCTTGCACATGAGCACGGCTGTATACAAACACCCCCTCCAATTTCTGAGGCAAAAAATGCTGAACATTGCACAGCCTGGAAACAACTTCAGTGTATGTGTGCACCTGCTATTCTTAGGAGCTCAGACTGCAGGAACAATAATGCTGCCTTTGGCTTTGATGTCTCCAGACTGTGAGTGACACTTCAGCATTTGGAGCTGCTGTCAGTCTGGTGCGAGAACTTAGAAGAGGCTGGTAAAGTTTAAAAAGGGAAGAGCTTTGTATCTATAGAAGAGAAAGAAAAAAGCCTTTGGGGGTTACAGCAATATGTTGCCTTGGAACTATTTGATCAGGTTTACCATTCTATTCAGACACTTCATTTTTTAAAAGCTTTAAATCAAGTAAGTTTGGGTCTTGAATGGTGCAGCTTTAGTGGTTGCTTGTCAGCCACTTGTGACTATGCAAAGTGCAGAAGCTAAACTGCCATTTCTGATTTTCAGGTGAAATTGAATGACCTGAAAATGGATCCATCTTCTCCTATGCACCCAGCAAGTATTTTGGAACAGACTGCCTTGCAGCTCGGATGCAGTCCCACGGACAAAAAACTTGCTTTCCACTTAGATGAAAAAGATGAGTTAAAGCATCTTCGGGAATGTTTCTATGTCCCCAAAGTCAAGGACCTGCCCCCAAGTGAGAGTTATAATTGCTGTTGAAGGAGAGGGAGGGGGAAAGGGCTGGGCTTCACATCTTCTGCATGTGTTTATCACAAGTCTTTGGAAATCATCGTCACTTATGAGATAATTGAGCAATTGTAGTCATATCTGAGCACAGAATGTCCCCGCTGTTGCTAAATCAATCCATCAGCTTATTCTAGCACCAAAAGCTCTATGTTCTCATTGCCATCCTGAATCAAATGTGAAGATACAGTACTTATGTGGTGCTTATGCTGTCAGTCAGCAGCTTTGAACAATGTAGTGACTGATTGAAAATTATAGGCAGGAGCTTTTCTGTCTAATGGCTCGAAACAGCAGCCTCACTTGGGTAGTTCAGAGCAGTTGCTTCTTTGGTGTGATTCAGCTTGGAATTATCTGTCTGGTTAGAATTATTTTACTTAATGAAAGAGGCAGTATATATATTATGTGAACATTTATGTCTTATTGGAGCTATTTTCTCGCTGAGGCCAAATGGAGGACTGTGCCTCAGAACAAATAATTGATCTGAGCAAATAATTCATAATGAAGACTTTTATTTGAAGATATTTTCCACTTTCCTCATGAATTGCCTAAAAATAGACAGCACCTGACTTCAGTGAAGCTATGTGAAATTGTTCTGGACATTTTTCTCCTTCTTTCCTGTTCCACAGGTTGCTTTGAGGAGCCTGTGGCATGTCTGGGCATGGGGAGGGCTTGGTTTGGAGGCAGGAAGGATGGAACAAAGGGGGTGGCACGCTGAGAGGGAAGCATTTGCTTGGGGTTAGTACTCCCAGACCATCAAAACAAAAAACCAGCTCCAACTTTTTTTTGGTACCTGCAATAGCCACCATGTTTAGCCAAATTCATGCAGGGACACCTGGGAGCAGCCACCTATGGAGGCAACAAGGTCCTAGTCTCTCCTGCTTCCCAAGCCCTGTCTAGGTTTATTTTTATCTCAGTTACCTGGAGAGCAAAAGCTGTGCTGGTTCTGCAAGCCCTAGTCACTGCACAGTGGAGAAATGACAGATTATTTCCTTAGATGATGAACACACACAGGCACAGTCATTCTCCTTCCTTCCTGCCTCAGCAAAATGTATCTATCGAAAATGAAAGGAAAAAATACGGTAGAATTCCTTGCAATTTTTTTTTTTCCTTTTCCAATGAATGCAGACAGAATTTCCTGCAGATTTTCTTTTTCTCAAAGGACATTACTGATGGTAAATGAGAAATTACATGTGCATTCATCAAAGTGTGACCAGAAAGGGACTGTGATATAAAACGGTGTCAGTAGCCTGAATTCCTGGACATCTTTTGAAACAGTCTGTCTTCAGTACCCTCCTGCTGAGCTATGATGAGTGTTGGGAATGCAGTCTGCTCCTGCCCTTGGGACACAGGGATGATAAATCTCAGTTCTCTATGTTCTGGTGGTGTTGGCTTATCTTTCCCCACATTTAAATCCTTGAGTTGTGCTGTTTCTATTATTCAGAGCAGGACTGGACACTTTGCAAATATTTAAACTATGTGCTTCCTCCATGCCCTTGTAATTTTTCTTTGTCTTTTTTCTTTTTTTTTACCCTGGTCTCTTAAGAGAATTTCCTAAACCTCCTCTGTTTGTTTGGATATTTGACTATTCTGTACTCAAAGCTCTTTCACCTGCCACCATGGTGCTGCAAGTTGTGCCACTAAAGCTGCAAAGATGCTGGAACACAGTTCCCATGGCAGTGGTGCTGCTGGAATCCAGCCCAAGCAGGAGCAGCTGGATCTTTGACTGCAGAATGTCAAATGTCTCTACAGGACACCAAAGGTCACTTTTCAGTGTAGTGTTGCAGCAGCTTTGGATTAAAGAATCTTCTGAGAAGTAGGTAGAAGTTTTGATACCCATGTGACAGTTTGGGTTTCTTCTCTTTCAACGTCCATTATTATTTGGTTCTCAGTTACTGCAATATTTAGACCCAAAGACTGCTGCTGTGGGGTTTTCCCCCTGCAGTTACAATAATATTTAGTCCTCAGACTGTGGATAGATATGTTTTTAGTGAAGATAAACAATGTACAAAGCAGTACCAGTTGAAAAGCACAGAGAACCCATCATTTTAGTGTTCCTAAATTGCGGGGTTTTTCTCTCCCCTTTTTATCCTGTCCTTCCTTTCTGTACTTCAGCTGTCATCAGGAACAGCTTCCCTGCTGAAGAACAGCAGGGGTGTAAATATATATACATTTACATTGTGTGACTATACCATAGAGACAGATCTGCCATGACATTTATCTGCGCCCAGGAGCGGATGCCAGATAACACATTCCTGAAGATAAATGTCATTCCAGATATTAGCCATCAAATATTCTTTATATATTTACATAAAGCATTACAATGAGGCTTTAAAATGAAGCCTTACAAGAAGCAGATGAGAACCTCCATAGGAGACAACAGTAAGATGACGTACAGGAAAATATTTAGGAAGTCATTAGAATAGTTTAATTTAGTTACCAAGTTATAATCTGTCAGGGCTGTTTATTTGCTGTATCCATCAAGAGGAAACCAGTAGCAGCCTAACTGCCTGCAAATCTGGAAGGTTTTACGTGCAAGCATGAGGGGCAAAGCTCAGGTGAGCAAATGAGGAAAAGAGGACAGCAGAAGATTTAGGGAAATGTTTGGATCCCGTTGATCTTCTCCGAGCTGACAGCAAAGTCTATTTAACCTCTCTTAAAGGGAAGGAGGAGGCAGGAATGCCTGGACTGCAGCTGGGCACCAACTCCCCTTCTGAATAAGGTTATGGCTCATGCTTTGTCACCTGCTAAAGGAGTAGGGCGTCATTTGGGTTTCTTGGGAATAAAAAGATGCCCCGGAGTGAAAGCACTGAGCTGTATTTGCAGAAGCAATGGTTAAAAGTGGTGGTTAACCATAAAAATCTGGCTTTTTGGAGGGCTGGTGAGGAGGGTACAGGCAGGTGTGAAAGTGGAGATCATTCATCCTTCAGCTAAGGACAGAGCTCAGATAAGTAAAAGCAGATTTAGTCCTTCTTTTCTGGTTAATGAACCTATTACATTTTTCCTTTCTGTTTGGGACTGAATATTTCTGACAATAAACTTGCTTTTCCTTTTAGATTTAAAAGGTATAGAAGTGCATCTTTAATGTAGATGAATGAGTATAATTAGTATGCAAAATAATGTGTGTGATTAGATTTGGCCAGTTTGCAGAAAACTGAGTAGGTGTGTGAATATATAATATATTTAATTAATCTTAATGCAAATGTATTTTTTGATCCAGGCTACTCTAAGAACACATTTCAATAGTTGTTTCTTTTTTTCTTTGCCTTTATTTCCTCAGTTGTGTTTATTTCCTGTTAGAATATTTTAATATGTGTTTCAAATCAACCACAGCACCTCCAGAAATTAAAAGGGCCAATACCGTGAGAAAGAAATGTAATTTGGGGAAACACAAGTGCTAGGAAAAAAGAATATTACAGTGAATGTAGAATTGTTGGAGCATGAGGACGTGCTGATCAGGAGAAATTACAAAGATGGTAAAAAAAACAAGCAGTAATGGTCCAAAATGAATCTTTTAGTGATGTCAGAGAGGGGGAAGTAAAGAGCTTTTTGTCTAAAGGAAAAAATGTTCATCCGAATTTAGAGTTGATACTACATAAAGAAAAGAATATCCGAAGGAACAGGTATAAAAGTGTTAAAATAACTTTATCAAAAAGGCAATGTCCTGTCTCTCCAATGGTGAATAGAGCTGTTTCTATTTAGAAAGGACTGTGGTGTAAGAAGACCTGCCTTGCTGATAATTCCTCACCTGTTTTACTGCTTGGTGAGATCGAGCTCCAGATTCTTGAGTAAGATCCTTCTCTCTAACCCCAGGGGACAGTGTTATTGTGTTTCTTGGTAGGAAAAGAACTTTTAATAGAATCAATTTGGGGGCATGGCTGATATTTATGCCTCTCTGTTTTCATTCATATTACAATGGAGATGAAAAACAGACAGCATATCTGCAAAACAGATTAGGCTGAGATTGCTCTCTGACTTATGCTTTTTAAAAGCCTCTAAAACTTTAATTAAGAAATTACCCAAGTTGTCTATACTCCTGAAAAATGTGTTTCTGGGGAAGGTCAATGAAATTGGTAACTGTTAGTGCAAAAGGTAGTAAGAAACCTTTTCCAGGTTGTTTTTCTACAGTCCTTACAAAATTTTCACAGACTGAATTGCAATCTTGTGGTTCATTTTTAGCATGTATCTTAACATGCTCAATCATTTGATCCTTATTCTGAGGGATATCAATTATATTTATCAAAATTATATGTGTTATTTTTCAGGGGTATTTTAAGTATAGGTATAGACAAATGCAAATTACCACTTCTAGAAGGTCACCATCACTTGTCCCTCCAAGAATCTCTAGCATGAGAAATAACAGAAGAAGGCTGTGTTTGGATTGATGGATGATGACACAGGGTAATTAGATTGTTCAGAACCTCACTAGAGCTATTATTTATAAATTTCTACTGCCTTGCTTTTCTCCTAATCATTGAAAGGGTTTGTCAACATAGATTTCCTCCTTCTCCTCAGATGATGACATGAAGTGCAGACCACAGTATTTGCTGACAAGAACTTTTAAGACTGCTTTAAAATATTCTCCTCAACAATTGCATTTTTTCTAAATAGAGATTTAGTAGTTCAGGGACAACTTACATGAAAGACACAGATTTACCTAGTCCTAACTTTTCTTAAATGCATGATTCCAGTAGCTTCATCACTCAGAGCAGGCATACGTTGGTGGTGGAAGAAAAGTGGGTAGCCTGATTGGGAAAATACTCCCTGTTTACTCACTGTTGGTTACAGACCTGATAAAATCTGTGCTCGTGACTGCTTCTCACACAGCCCCTGAGAGCTGGGGATTTAGTGGTGCCTGCACTCTCATCAGCTCCAAAAATTGTAGGAGGAAAAGGTGAATAGTTGCTTAGATGCTCTTCAGGGTTACCTGAGTGATGTTCTGCGAGAGAGCTCAGGATGTCACACCACTGTTTGCATGTGGGGACTGTGATGTCCCAGGGGATGGGGAATGGACAGAGTTCTGGGGGTGGCACAGGTGTTTGGGGGGTGTGCACACCTGCTGGCCCTCCTGTGCTGTGTCCCACATGTACTGAGCCTCCTGTGCTGTGTCCCACACCTGCTGGCTCTCCTGTGCTGTGTCCCACCTGTGCTGTGCTGACCCTGCTGTGCTCAGTCCCACGTGCTGACCCTTCTGTTTCTCTGGTTTCCCTCTACAGCTGACCTGACCCTGGTGAATGGAGAGGAGAGCTGTGTGTACTTTATTGGGAATTCTCTTGGCCTCCAGCCAAGAAAAGTTAAAACTTACTTGGATGAAGAACTGGACAAGTGGGCTCGGACGTGAGTACCCTGCAGGGTGGGCCAGATGCTGACCTGTGCTTCAGAGGAGCTCTTTATTCTGGGATCTTCCTTGGAACTGCTTGAGCAGCAGAAGAGTGCATTAAAAGCGCTGCAGCCCAGGAGTAAAACATGTTCAGTGTTTCCCTAGTGCTGTTTATATCTCTTTTAAAGGCAGGAGCAGTAACACAGGTGAATAGACCCTTTCAGCTGTGGCAGCTGTGCTGTGTGTGGTGGCTCTGCTTGGCTCACCTGGAGGACCTGTGCAGTTTAACCCTCCCCACCCTGCAGTGTTTATAAAATGTCCCTACAAAGCACACAAACCTATTTGGTTGTTGCTGCTTGCTGGTGAATGTGGTGGGGTTCCAGGCCCTGTGATTTTCTAATTAATGTTTTTAACTGCACGTGATTCACTCCACAGGCCATGCAACAAGCAGTTCCCTTTGAAAAAGCACTGAATGCAGGTGATGCTGCAACCCATGCTGGCAGGTTTTTGGCTCCTCTTAAACCAGGTCTCTGCCTGACAAGTTAATTTTATTTAGAAAGAAACATTCCTGTCTTCTCAATAAGGAGCTGAGTGTGAATTACAACAAGCTTTGCTAAACCAATCTGATGTAAAAGAGACAGGATAAAAGAAAGACATGTTGCAGGAAAGGCACACTGTCATCATAACAAATGGGGAACTTTTTGATATACATGGGGGAAAGAAAAAGCTTTTTTCCTCTTTATTTAGGTTTTTTTAATATTACGTTCTGTTCCATTAAGAGTCTGTGCTTTGAGATCTCCAGCACCTGCCTGAGCAGCTGGAGCAGGGATGAGTAAGGAAAATGATGAGTAAAAAACAGGGAACTGAAGGTGGGAAAGGAAAATAACATCCAGATGAGTGAGTGAGCTGGGCGAGAGATGAACTCTTTTATAGGGTGCGGGATATGAGTGGAACAGATGTGATTTCATGGTGAGAGAGCAGAGGAAATATGGAGAGGCAGAAGAGGAAAAATGAATTCTGCTAAGTGGGCAGCCTTGTTTCAGCAGGAACGGTCGAGATGGAGGCTTCTCAATTCAAATGTGAGAAATCTGTAGCTGCTCTTCCACTTGTAAATGTATGAATGCTGTGAGCTCATCAATATGCTTTATTGATTCCTATTTTTCACCTGTATTCTTATAGGTGAGAAGGCTGAGAATGAGTGGGAAGGAGTGGAACTTTGGGAAGAGCTCTTTCCCTCTGGTTATTCAGGCAGCACAGCAATGCAGTTTCTCCAGTCGTTTGAAAAAATTGCAACCCTGTCCATTTCTGTGCTGTTATGCCACTTTGTCAGGGAAACAGCTGAGCTCCTTCAAAAGGCAGAAGTCAGATAACATTCTTAGAGCGATGCACTGGGACTGCAAATGTATTTCAGCTCCTCCACTGTATCTTTACTCTGCCTCACTTCTATTTTTGTGTTTGTCTTTGCTGCAGTGAAAGATGAGTTTTTCCTCAGTGACTGTAAAAACCTGGAAGAAAAAGGTAGGCAGTGTGTTCCTTCAGATCAAAAGTGCCTTCAGGATCTTTGTCTAGGGGGGAAAAAATGGCTGAACTTTGGTTTCAAGCCACTGCAAGAGAGGGAACAAAACTAGAAAGGTTGTTTGCCAAAAACGTGGCTTGGCCTCAAAAGCCTTACACAGAATTAATCAGAAAGTTTCAAAACAAATTAAAATCAAAACAAAACCAAAGTACCAACTAAGCAGAATCCCTCAAATTAAGATAAAAAAAGAAACAGAATAAAATCCCGAACCTAAAGAACTGAGACAGCCAGGGTAGGATCAAGTTAATTTTGAGGGGAACAGTGTATGCTTAGAGAAGGTGGTGAATGGAATGTAAAGGAATAGTGGCTGAAATGGTACAGAAATGAGTACTTTTATTCCAGTCACCAAGGACAGCTTAGCAAAACCCAGTCTAAGGTGCTAGCTGCTCCCAGCTGAAGGCTGTTCCATGGCTGTTGTGTCAGCAGTTTGGGATGTAGTGGCTCTGGCTTAGATAAATAAGTAGCAAGAATCTAGGAAATGGCATGCAAATTAGGAACATCCATCAAGTCAGCAATGGTATAGATTCTGGCTTTCTTATAAATTGGTTTATTGCATTTTCTGTTTGTTGTGTCTTGGGACTCCTCTCAAAGAGCTGTGAGTCTATTTAAATGGCTTTCACTGCTTGTAGTTAAGGGAAAGAGTGAAAAGGAAGATTGCCCACTGCTAGTCAAGGGCAGGGGAGCTGTGGCTTTATCTCCAAGTAATGATGGTAACTTTCAGGCTAACAGCTGGGAGAGAAAAGCATGGAAAAGATTCTTTCTTGTTTTGTTTCCTCTTAGTGCTTAGTTCCTTTCCCTCACCTCCACTTTAACTGGTGGGTTCCAGCTCCTATCCTACATCTGCCTCCCAAATACCTTCTCTGGATTTGTATTCTTCCTCTCCATATCCCTTTCCACTGTTTCTTATGCTAATGTAGCAAGATCCCAAGCCACTGGCATTCTTAGTATGGATTTAAAAGCAACCTCTGAGGCTTCGTCTTTCAGTTATGATTTCAGCTAAATCCAAGATTTATTGAATAAGGGGTGAAAAGGGATGACGAGTTGTTCACTCACATTTAGCCTAGAGTGGCCAATAACTCAATGTTTTAAAAGTCCAAACTTTAAGGGACTTTTTTGGTTGGAGGAAGGCCAAGAGATGCTCTGCAGTGCCTTGTTTTCCCCTCTGCTCTGCCAGAACTGGTTAAGTAATTAAAATATTTTATAGAATCATTACTGTGTGTGAGCATACTCACTGCAGCAGGCAATGTCTCTCATCTGAATAACTCATTAAGGTGGAACAATTAAAACAGAAGGGAGCCTGCTGTAGCCAGTTGTGCTCCTGTGAAGGGCTGGCAGGGTGACTGGGAAGTGGAGAACCTGCTGCACACAAGTCTTGAGGACTGGAGCTGTTGAGCAAAATTAAGACTGAAAGGAAAAATGATTGTTCTCTGTGGATGTATCAGTGTAGGGGAGGGAAGGAGCCACTTCTATGAAAAGCATGTTGGCATAGTAAATATCAACACGGAATTAATAAATTTAGGCTAGAAATAAAACTGGCTGACATGGACATAGGTTATTAACAACCTCTCAGTTTGAGGAAAGCTTTATAATATAACACTTGCAGTAGCAAAGACTATTTTCAGCAAGTCAGAAGGTATTTTGGGTCTGCGTGCTGAATTAATCCTGCAAGATACAAGAAGGCTGCAAACAGGGGAGCAGTTTGGCCCAGCCCTGTTGGACATCCCCACCTCTCCTGCCATTCTCAGGACTCTGCCTTTTGCCAGGTTGTGTGGTAGAGCTGCAAATTCCTGTTTTAATGCCCTGGAATTCTTAGTTTTTTCTTTCATCTGCTGGTCCATACAGTTCTTATTCTTTTGATATGTCTTCCCTTTTTTTGGCTGTTTCTTTGCTTGAAACCTTGGTCCAACTTAAGAGTCTGTACTGGCTCATTAAATACCTTGCATCATTTTTGGCAAAGGAGCAAAAAGGAAATTTGCACTTGAACAAGATTTGGATGAGTGCAGAAGATTCCTGAAGATGGCAATTAATTTAAATTCCTTTTCTCACCGCCTTTGAAACCCTGGGATCATCTCAAAAAATGTGTTTCTAGCTCCCCTAGCAAGCTTTAAATCAGCCAGTCCTCAGTGAATAAAACGTGGAATTGTGATTTCCTGCCAAACTGAAAATAAAACGGTAACCAACTAAAAATTAATTTGCACAATGAGAAACTCTCATAGAAGTTGAAGAAATATCTGTTTGTCTGATGCTCTGTGATTTGACGGGTGAAGTTTTGTATTCATTAATTTGGATATCTCAATTTAAATATCTTTTGCTACCTAGGGTGCAGTGAGGGGAAAAAAGGCTCTCCATGTATGAGAGGAATGCCAGGAGCACTGCACTTGTGTCCTTAAAGATTATTACCCCCAGTGCCTACCAGAGCTGAGAGAGGGGTGGCATAATATACAGAGATATAAATTCTCTGAGGCAGAGCATAGAATTTTACAACCTAAGTGTAATAGGATGTATTGTGCCATCAGCAAAGTCTACAGAGTTTCATGTGATTAAAATAAAAAAAGGGTCCAAGAATATGCTTTTAACTACCATTTTAGAGGCAATAATTTTTGTCTCTTGGCATTTATATTGGCCATCAAGAGGGAGGCAAGCTGTAAGCTATGTCATAATAATAATAATAAGAATAATAATGAATGCTGCCTCTCCCTTCTTTCAATATGGTTAAATGTCCATGTTTTCCTCTCAAAGTAAAACATTCTCATGACCAAAATCTCACAACTTGGAAATATCAGTTTTCCTGATAACTTGGAAATTTATTCTGAAATTTTGATAGTCCTGTGTGCTGATAGAGAGAACTTTCATTAGTAAATTCCCATTAGGATGACACTAATGGCTATAAAATCAGGGAAAGCTAATGAAAGAAAATCCCATAGGTAGTTAGGACTTATTTTCCCCATCTTATTATATTTGCTATTCTCTTTCAGAAATACAGATTCCCTCAGGCTGGGAGCCACTGAAAATCTTTGGGGGTTTTATTTTAACAGTCTGTGTTATCCTAAAGTCCCTTGATCACTCTATTACAGTTAAGAATAAGACAGGAAATTACCAATAAATGTCGTGCTGTTTGTGAAACGTAGACCCCTGTCTTCAGGGAATGCAGCTGCATTGTGGGCTGATAGAAGGGAGGAAATTTTAACACTACTCCTGCCCCTCACAGCATTTTCTCCCTTCCCCACCCACTGCCTTTATTCCTCATCTATGAAATGCTCTTGTAAATGAGGGTTATTTCACACTGCCTGATCTCTGCTGTCGAGTACTCATCAGAGAGCAATTGTAAAATGGAGGAAAGCAGTCAGCTGCTGTACCAGGACCTCATCCAAACTGAGGAGCAGGGTCCTCCTTGTCTGCATGGGATTGGACTTGTTGAGCATGGGGATGTTATTTTATCTGTAAGAGATGCTCAGTTGTACCTTTGCACTCCTTCAGCTCTTGACCTAATCTAGCCCAAAATTTAATGGTGCTTTGTAAGGATGAGAGGCTTGAAATGGTTAATACAACTGTGCTTTTTAGAAGCAACAGCTCCCTTATTTTTTAGGATTGTAGTTATTTTTTGGAAATATCCCTATGAGGCATGAATTAGACCCAAGTCAATCAAAAAGGGTCTCACTGTAAAACACCCAGGTAATTTTTGGAAGAGACAGAATGAGACTCTACTTGAGAAGGAAAAGTATGAGGTGGATAGGGAAAACCAATCTTTTAAATAGCCTTGAGGATGGGGTAGTGTCTCATGCATCCTCCTTTCTCGTGCCTTAATCTGCCAGCTGTCCTCCTGTGATTTTCAGTGAATGTTGTGGGCCAGCTCTTCTTTAAAAAGTTTACTACTTTTTTTTTTTTTTTTTCCTTTTTTCTCACATCAAAGCTTTTAGGTCTTCTGCTCTCTACCCGGCTTCCTACCGGCTTTGTCCTTATTTTGAAACAGCTTTATACTCAGCCTCATGCAGCCTGGTGTTTCCAACTCCACAAGTACCCCATGGTGCTCAGCAAATATGAAAATCATCCAGTGTGAGATGGGAGCCCAGAGCAATGTTTCCCTGGATTAGCAGCATTATTACTTTTCTCAATCTGCCTCCATTTGCATTTAAATCTGTACTCTACACCCTGAATGTTTAAGAAAATAGGCAACTTTTTATTTATATATGCTTGGCAGATATATAAGAAAACTTAGAAGTTTTCTTCTCTGTCATAATTGAAGGAAAATTTAGTTCAAAGCACTCAATCCAGAACTGAATTTATACATCTGTCACTTCAGAGTAGCAGCACACTTGAGCTTAAGGTGACCATATGACCCCTGCAGACAGGAGCAGTTTGCAATATAAAGTTTTAAAATAGCCGTTGTCAACCCAAAAAGCTTTGTGCACACTGAGATCTAGAACAATTCTGCAGGGAGAAGAGAAGCAATAAAAATTAGCAAGCAGCTCTGTGGATGCAGCAAAGCACCTGCCCCTGCATGAAATACCCTCTGGTTTATGCAGAAAGTGAGCTCAGACAGGAGATGCAGAAGGATGGAAATTGTTTCTGACAAGAAAGATTCCTGTCTGGGAGCAAGGCAGTATTTAAGTCTATCATCCTCTGCACCATGTAATGTCCAGCCAGAAATGCAGGCTGGGGAAGTCTGTAGGGTGATCTCTGCTCTCTGTGCAGTGATGTCAACCTGGCTTAGCAGGTGCCATGCCACACTGGGATGCCCTGTCCCAGCTTCCCTGCTCCCAGAGTCCTCCAGAACCCATGTAGCCACTTCCAGGGGGCTTGTGAAAAAGCTATCATCTTTACTCTGAGAAATTTCTGGAGGAATTTTGTGGGCCAAAACAAATAATTTTCAAGCAACTGAAATCCTGTCATAAACCAATGAATTGCCTTTGCTCTGAGGTTTAATGGTATGAGAAAAGTGTTGTGCTCAGCTTAGGTAAGTCTCATCCTCCAAATGTGGAGTGTCCAAATCAGATGTGTTTCTTAGGACTGATCCAAGTAGAATATCACATATTTTCATCATTTTTCCATTCCTTTTCAGAGGTGTCCATGGCCATTTCAATGAAAAGCGCCCATGGGCTTTGGCAGATGAGTGCATCCTGGACCTGATGGCTGAGCTGGCTGGTAGGTGTGACATGCAGGGCAAAACCTTTCTCCAGAAATAAAAACAAATTTAGTTTCTTTTAAGACTCAAAACCTGAAACTCTAGTTCCTTTTATTCTTATGTTTGAAAGCAGATTTTCTTGTGCATGGACAAGAATTTTATTTTAAGGCTGCAAGTGTTTTAGGGGATCAATGTGTGTGATGTGCATATCATGAAACAAATTGCAGCAGAGGGTTTTCTTGGAGCATCATAAACCACTTGGACTAACGCGTGAAGCCCTTTTAAAGGGCACTTGGTATTGCAGAGTCTCAGTCACTGTTCCAGAAGTAAAATTATGAACTTTCCCCTTTGATAAATTATTTCTATCTAGGCATTTTCTGGTTTTCCTCTTTTCCCTGCCACTAAATCCAGACTCATATTTGAGAGCTGCTTATGGCAATGAAGCAGATAATTGGGGCAGGACCTGCTATTGATGAGTTCCCATGACCCTGCTGTTCCCTTTGAGGAGCCTGCAGTGCTGCAGGACTTCGGCAGGAAGTGCTTCTGGTTGTTCCAGAGATTGAGGAGCCCTGGAGATCCTCCTGGTGAATTTGCCATGAAAGCAGTCGGCTGAGTGGGAATGCAAATCTCCTCTATCACTTCTTACTCCGTGTAGTTGCTGAAATAATCTTTCACTGGGATTTCCTTCAGAGTTGTCTCTGAAGGGGGAAGAGAAATTATCTTGGCAGGGTCTTTTTCTCCCCAGCCCTCCCAGCTGTTGTCAAGGCTAGGTTAGTAGATTTTGGGGAGATCTGGCACATATTTCAATGTAGGTGTTGAAGGCAACTCTCAATAGTGACTATCAGAACTGAATTATCAGGCATTCATTTGTGCCATCACCAAGGAAAAATATTACCCTTCTGTTGACCTACTGTATTCTAGATATTGTATCTTAATTTCTCCTCCAACTGCAGGCAAGTGTTCAATGAGAAAATTATGGGTTTTCTCCTTCAAGAAAAGCAAATGGGGTTGGAACAATTGGGACCAGAGACATTAAAGCATGTTTCATGACAAGTTTATTTATAAACTTATAAATAAAATCCCTCTCTGAATTCTTTATGAAGTTTCCAAATAGCTAAAATTGTGGGTGTTATTATTGGAGCAGAACAAATGCAATAAATTATTGTTGTAGTTGGTCTATCCATGATGTGAACTCTGAGATAACATAAATATGAGTGTGGCTACACTGGGCATCACTGAGCTATGCAGAAAAATCCCATCTGCACAATGAAATAAAAATCTCAAAATGCAGATTGGGGGTTCTGATTTTGTAAGTTGCTGTTGTTGTACCTGGTGCTGCTCAAGAGATTAAGAAGTTACTTCTCTTGCTTTCATTACACTCAAGGGCAAGCTCAGCACCTCATCTGTTAAGCATCATAGGACATAAAAATGTGGAAACATAAAGGGAGTGGAGGGTGTTGAAATGCTGAATGCAGCTGATTCAGGGGTTTCTCCAGTATGACCCATCTCCCTTGGCCAGTGGATATTCTTGTTCTGGCAGGGTACAACTAGGAAGATGTGGAAAAGTGCCTTGGAATTTTCAACTGGAAACCTTGAATTTAACTAAGCAGGGAGACCAGAATTTCTCTTATGTCATATTCCCAGGCACCCCAATTAGTAATCAAGGTATGACCACTGATGTTCTTCACATAACCAGGAGAGAGAGAGCCCAAAGGACAGCTGGAAGCTTCTGAGTTATCATCTTTCTCTGCATCACCTCTGTGGCTGTTTGCCTCTGCTTTGTTTGCAGAATGTGGAACCCTGAGGCAGGCTGAGCCCTGACCTGCTGCCACTGCCCCTGCCAGGGTCCCCCTGGCCTTAGCTAGAGGTTAAGAGTCACTGCAGACAGCAGAGAACGAGGCTGGGACCCTTTTACCCTTAACCATCTGTCTTGTAGAGGCAGCCAACTAAGTCTCTATTTTAATATTAATTTAACTACAAGATGCACTGTAGGTGTAAGGAGATGGAAATGAGAGCTTTGCTTAAATTTCAGCTAATTGCTCATCCATCTCCTTACTTTCCTTTTATGTACCAAGCTCCATGTGACACAAGTGCTTTTACATCACCGTGGCTTAACCACAATGAACTTATTATAATTTTCTTCATGGTAAAAAAATATTCTAAAATTTTCAATTAAAAATTATGACTGAAGTTTCCTTAACACTAATCAAACTTTTTTTTGTTTTAAAATTATTTCCTGGGAAGTGCTGCCTGTTATTTTTCTCGAAGATAAAAGGCATGGTTTGGATTCTGTTCTCCAGAATTTTTGGGGCTTTGTTTGACGAAATTGTAAATTGTGGTCTAGGCTTACATCTGGCCCTCAAATTTGCGTGCAGGGTTTTGTTTAGAAAATACCCTCGTGGCTCTTTTTTCAGGACACAGGTTAGTGATTCTTAGAATACAGATGAAAATATTTCTCAAATAATGGATGTATCATAGTAAATTCCAGTTTTTAAAATTGTAGGCAATGATGAAGAGGCTAAAAGGATAAATAGAGGGGGAAAAAAGAAATCTATGTTAAAATGCTCTTTTCAATGTAGTATTCCACAGTTTCATGAAGTGTTGTAGGTTGGAAGGGATCTTAAAGTTCCAGCCCTCACAATTTTTGCTTAAGTACCATTTTCCAACAAAGAATAATATTGATTATGTACAAGTATGTAGCTGAATGAATTCTGAATTTACTTTCTTATTGACATTAATGTAAGAACAATAACGGGATTTTATTGTGTTTTTTATTCAGTATTGAATGTGCTTTGGAGGAGAAGGAAGAATTGTCATTTCTCACCCTAAGCAGTGGTAACAACTAAAACTTATTCAGGAATGGACCAAGGACTGTAAAACACCTTTGTGTGCTTAATGGTTTATAGTGCACGAACACCTTGCTTATTAAAGGCAGTCACATTTTCTTGTTCAATGAAAGTTACAGTAGTAAATACGTTGTGAAATGAAGAGTCAAGGTCAGTGGAGGCCAAAGCTTTTTTCCTGCACTCACACCAAGTGGCAGAAGGCAGTGAAGGCAATCTCTGCCTCTCCTACCAGACTTTATTAAAACATTACAACCTTGGCAGGATCACCTTCTGATGGAACAAGATTAACTGTGTGGCTGCTGCTCGACGATGGGCTCGGGCACGTCTCTGTTGAGGGAAGACTGAATGCTGAGCAGATTTGGAGTGACTTTGAGTGATAAGGATTATTTGAAGTAACCAAAATATTTTCAAAATTGGGTCCCTTAGCCTTTTTCCAATCATTTTACAAAAAGCTTTTTACTTACTCCAGCGAGGATCAGACTTCCCCAGCAGTCAGAGAGGAGAAGGATGGCAGTGTCTGCCTAACGCAATCATAATTGTCTCTGAAGTTGTACTTTGCAAACACTGCTTCCTTTTATTAAAGAGGAGATTTATCATGCAGAACATACAGGTTTTAGACTGTCCTGGAGATATGGTATAAAGTTAGGAAATAAGGAAGGCAAACATAATTTTGTCTCCCGTGTGCCGGGTCTTTGAATATTGTAATAGGTTAATTGGATCATGGAAAGGTTGTTTTCTGAAATGCAGTGCAGGTTATAAAGGATAACAGTTTTCCAATGACATGGATGAGGTTTGTTTTGTGGGCATGAAATTCAATAATGGAAGGCTTTTAATAAATATATAATTTACGGAAGACCAAGACTTACATGACAAATGTAGTGTCATATTTAATTTGGGATGCTAACATGCAGCTAAAAGTGATCTACAGATTAACCATTTCTTTTATACAGAATCAGTACAGCAGGCAGAGGGTTGCTTGTGCAGAATTTGCTGTGAAAGCCACAGATTTCACAGAAGGAGCAGAGGGACAAATAAGAACAATACCATTTCTTGATCCTGTCCCTTTTTTCAGCCTCAAGAGTTCCATAGAAATATTAAGACTGCAAATAATACTGTTTTGAGCTGCAATCACTCTCTCTAGCTGTCTTCTGGATCTGCAATAGAACAACCCCAAGGTGACCTCTTCCAGCAGCATGGAGCCTTAAGATGCAATGCTATCAGAGGGAAGAAAAGAAAGCAAAGGGAGAGGAGTTTAAGGGAAGAAAAAAGCTTATACTTCCCTATGAAGAACTTCTCCTTTATATATTTCTTTCCACAAACTTGATGATGTTCCTGGTGTCTGAAGGAGGAGGGAGCTTATTCCTGACATCTCATTTTTGTGTGGCTCATCCCCTGGACTGATCATTCCCAGTCACTGACACCTGTTTTCCAAATCCTTCTGTTCAAAACCTGAAGATTTCAGCCACAAGTGGAAATGTCCTTGAACAGCTCATTGAGAACAGTGCTTGGCTTTTCCAGGGTTGGCAGAAGCTAAGGCCTGCTTGGGAGGAATGTATGAATTAATTATAATTTTAGATTTCCATGTTCTTTGGCTATATTTTCCTGTATTGGGTTGAACCCATGGTTATATCTTTTTTCCTACACTGACATAGCAATCACTCTGTGAATTTAAACTGTTTAGGATACAGTGGCAGTGTGTCAGGTGTCCCCCAAGGCAGGGACAGGAGAAATTCAGGGCTCAGATTTCCATTTCTTGTGTCTCCCCTTACCCTTTTATATCCCAAAATCAGCTTTTCCTTCCTCTCTATTGATTCCAAAAGTGGCTGTTGCTCTCCCTGCCTGCTTACACTTCCCTTCATCCCTCTCTCTCTGCAACCTCTGTCCATGTTTGGTGAATCTGTGTCTGAGTGAGGATCAGAACAAGGTGCATGAACACATCTGAAGAAGACTCTCAAAATATGGATTTGTCTCAAGAATGAATTTCTCTTTTTCAACAACAGACACCAAGCATACCAGAAGGAAACAGGAACTGATTTTTTCGGTGCCTTGGTGCTGCCCAACACACAATTCCCTGTCCTACCTAAAACCTTCCACCAGGACTTGACAAATGCTGGGGAATTTGTTATTAAATACTTGCTAACAACAATTAGTTGTTACTATTTAGCTCTGCCTGTGATTAGCTGTAGTCTATAGGCATCTGTTATTATCCTCCTTGGAGCAAAGTGGGTATGGCTTCTTGTGAAGCTGCTACATTAATAATGGTCTGATATACCTAATAGGTCAATTTTGCTTATTTCATTTTTTAAATTAGGGATGAGATTTATCTTGACATTACAGTAACCACTTACAACAGATGATTATCTCAATATGTTTTCTCACTTGTGTTATATATGAACTTTTTACAAAAATAAGTCTTCAAGTCTTGCCTTACATATAGTCTTTGTGACCTCACTTGTCTGAGGTATTCAAGATAATAAATCCACTGGTAGTTTGCTGGGAAAGGGAAAGATTTAGTTGTGTTTTTTTGTTTTCTGTGTCTGACCTGAAAAAATAAATATTTTCCTGCCATTGCAGTGTAGAGAGTCAGACAAGAAATCTTTTTATTTCACTCTAATGACACCTCAAACATTTGTTTCCTTTCCAGGCTTTGGAGAGACATTGACTGAATTCATGCTTTTGCTTTCTCTCCACTGTTCTATATTTCTCTGAAATTTTAAAGAAAAACTCCAACCATTTTTCAAACTTCTTATCTTTTTATTATTTCAGGGGCCAAAAGACAAGAAATAGCCTTAATGAATGGGCTGACTGTTAACTTGCACCTTCTGATGGTATGTCTTTATGATGAATATTTGATCTTGTGTTGGCAGGTATTTTTCTCCTTCCTTTGTGTGTGTGTAAGCAAAGTGTTTTCTGAGAACCTCACAGAGACAGCACTGGAGACAGATTAAGTTTTTAAGCCCTGGGAGTTGTATTGTGAATAATGTATGTGCAAGACCCAGCCTGACTCAATACTGAGCAGGAAAGCTGGACAGAGAAATATTTTCAAGGACTCTGTAGGGGAAGTTTCAGCTGTTCTCACGTATGTTCTGTGTCAGTTGCCAGAGGAAATATTGTTATTTAAGAAACATTTACAAGTAACTTCTCAAATTTAAATTCCATGGCAAATTTCAAACTTAAGGAAACAGGAGCTCAACTGTGAGCAAGACAAAGCTGTAATATCAGTCAAGCTTAAAATGCAGCTGCATACAAGAGATGACACTTAGAATTAGGCTATTTGATATGTGCCTAAAATGTGCTAAAGTATTTTGACTTGCATGCCATAGCGACCATAAATGTGTCATATTTATGCTCAGGTGTCCCTGTGGCTGCATAGAGCCTGTCTCTGGCTTTCCAATATTTCCAAATATTTGGTTCAACTGAGTGTAGATGTGAAGCTTCCCTTTGTGTGGCTCTCACAGCAAGGTTTATCACTTGGATCTGCTCCTCTGGACCATTTAAAATTAATGAACATGGAGCAGGGTGTGGCTCAGTACAGTGAATTCAGGTGGCTACTCTGCCCTGAATTAGGTGTGAATTTCTGGAGTACACAGACCATGCAGAGGGCTGTGTAACCCAAGCTAAATTGAGCAGGAGGGCTTGTAAATCTTCATAGTCCTCCTGGCACGGTGGCCAGCCCAGCTTGCCAGGACCTGAGAAGAAAAGATCACCCACCTGCAGGTGCTGAGATCAGGTCTTTGGTCAGACTTGCTTTGGAGTAAGGGATGATTCCATAACTAAAGTTTAAGGGCAGGGATGTAAATCTAATTCTTTTGTGCTGCCTGCTACTCTTCAGCTGCTGCTTTTGATTTCTGGATGGAGCTGGGTGAAATCCCAGCTTGCCTGGCTGCATTCAAAGCATTGCCATTGATTCCTGTAAGTGCAACTTTTCACTGCTAGGTTTTGGTGGCCTTTGCTATGGATATGTGAAATACAGTATTATAACACTTTGCTACTTTGATAAATGTTATATGGACAAAGAAATATTTGTAATTTCTGGGGGATTCTCTGTAGGTCTGCATGACAGTAAAGCAGTCTTTATTAAGTCATATGCTGGGAGCACCTTTCTCTTCTCTGCTTAGATAAATTTCAATATTTCTTTCTTTTTTTTTTTTTCCTTAACAGCTATCTTTCTTTAAGCCTACTCCAAGACGTTATAAAATTCTTCTAGAAGCAAGAGCCTTTCCATCTGACCATGTAAGAAATTAATATTTCACCATATTTGTATTATTAATCATATTTTCCCAAAGAATATCAGTAGTACGATTTCAATATTTATTAGTTCATCTTGTCCAAGTAACATTACAATAAAAAAATCTGTCAGAAACTTTTCAGCTCAGCATACTTTACAGATCGTAGCTTTATTCTTTTTGTTCAAATAAGAAGTATTGCATGAGGAAAAGAATGAATGGGTGCATTGATTTATTAGTCTTTTTAAAGACATCTAGCAAACTACTGGCCTAAATCAACTAAAATTGTAAATGTTTTATTAATTCTTGTTGCTGTTTTACTTTATGAAACCAAATCAATACAAACTCACAACATTAACACTTATATATCCCCAGACAGAGATGGAAATGTTTGTTCTTAGCAGTTTAGATTACTAGTTCAAACATAATTTGTCTGCTATAAAATAAGAGACAATAGCCTGTGCATCAGAGCTTCGAGCAAATTAATCTTTGGGTTTGTGGGGCACTGCTACTTTATCATCAGCACCGTAAACTCCTGGAAATTGATAACAAATTTGATCTCTAAGGTGCAATAAAAGTGACTCGAGCTACTAACAGGTTTATTTGTAATGAAGATGCTGGCACAGATGTATACACCTCAAATTGCTTTTATTCTAAGTAATGTTCAGATTAATCCCACATTTGTTCCACATGCACTTGTACATTTACACTCCATCCTCTTAAATTTCTATGGCACTTCAGTAATAATCTCTGCAACTGCCATCACTTCAGTTCCTGTCATGAAATTTTAAACTCTTTTATACTGCTATTTGATGATTGTTACTTGATCTCCAGGACCATTATTTATCGATAAAATCGGTTGATAGGATTTTTTAAATAGCTTGAGAGTTTAAAGCTCTTATTTTCCTCCAGCTGTGCAGCAAATAGAAGAGGTGAGAATGTCACAGGGCAGGATGTCTGTGCTGGCCAGAGTTGGCAGCAGGGCATGTGGGTACCCAGGGCTCCTGGAGAAGGGATGCTCAGTCCTCCTTGGCTGTTATCCCAAGGAAGGTTTGGCTTTCTGGCCTCTGGTGAAGTGCATCCATCACACCACAGAACCAGGGAATGCTTTAGGTTGGAAAGGACTTCAAAGTCATCATGTTCCCACTCCTGCCATGGGCAGGGATGCCACCCACTGGATCAGGTTGCTAAGGGCCCTGTCTCCACCCTCATTCTGCTCCATGGATTTATCCTGTGGGATTCAGGCTTTGACTTTGTCCTTGCAAAGGCATTAAATTAATTCTCATGTGAATTAAATTCAGATGTTTTTGAATCCAAAGAAAATCTGTGAATTTCTCAGTGGAGTTAGATTATGCTTTCAAGCTTACTTTTAGTGAAAGGCAAGGCATCTGAACAGCTTTCTCAAGTTCTGATGTGTTTGTCCTTTTTTTCCTTGTAGTTGTTTATCATGTATTTGAGTTAATGGTGTCTGCATGGAATTCTCTTCCAGTATGCTGTGGAGTCCCAGATCCGACTGCATGGGCTGGAGGTGGAGAAAAGCATGGTCCTGCTGCAGCCACGGCAGGTTGGTGAGGAATCTGTCACTTCTGCTTGCTGCCACCAAGGGCAGAAACACCTTTCATGTGAATATTCTCAAACATTCTAGTGTAGAAAAGGTAATCTGTGCATTAAAATGTAGATAAAATTTATGGATCTTAAACAGATGTGCTTCAGCACATATTTTTGACATTAAGACCCCACTTTATAATTGCTGATTCAATAGTTAACTTTCCCAGAAGAACAACAAAAACAACAAAAAAATCTATTCTCTCTATTTTTCCTGTTTCCAAAAAAAAAAAACTGGCAGCACCCTGAGTCACCTGCAAAATGTGATTTTGACTCATTGAGAATTCCCAGTGTCCTTTGAATGTCCTGAGGTAAGAGATTGCCATAACACGAGCAGCACTGTGTCTGCATCAGCACGGGCTGAGGGAAAGGTCTGCTCTCAGTAATATGCAATTCAGATTAATTTGAAATGCTGCCTCGCTTCACTTCTGCAGCATTAAGAACTTTGTCACCTAACTATAAACCGAGGGTGACCTTTTGCTTCTGAAATCTGAGTCATCTTGTGAGTAAAGAGCCCACTCCTGAACGCTTGATAGATTTGCAGAGATTGTTGAGATAATAACAGTCCCTTGCAATTCAACCATCTTGCCCAAGCTTTTTTCAGTAACAAGTCTAATTTAATTCTAGGTTTTCACTGCCTAATTGATCCCTAGGTGGTGGTATGTTTTACAAGATCCCTTGCTAGGAAGACAGGAGGAGGATGGGGCAGTAATTTTCCTGTAAAGAATCAAAAATGAGGTTTTGGGGTTTTTTTCCTCATGGTTGAAATTCTTCTATATTTAATGACCACAGGTTTGGGGATTTTTGTACTTTTGATGATGTGAGACACTGTTTTTGAAATATGAATATGTCAGGTTTATAATAGCTTCCTGTGGGATACCAAGTTTATCAGAAAAGTAAAGACTGAAGCTGATAGACAACTTTCAAATCTTGTGGGTGTCACAAATTTCAGATGCCACTTAAAAACCATTAGATATTCTGTCTGCACCAGGAATTTTTGACTGTAAATTAAAACTGTCAGAAATATTAAAGGGTATGAAGCATGTTAGAGTATGAAGTGAATAGACATTTTATAACAGGCACCTCCAAGATTCACTTGCTAATGATTATTTTTTTGAGGTTACTTGCTCATAGGCTACTTCATAGCAGTACCTTTGTATATCATTACTGAGACAAGGGTTTGCTTTTGATCTCCTTTCATGATAAAATATAGATTATGAAATAAGGAATGGCAATGCCATTGCTGCCAGAGTTGATGTAAAATGTGCCCTTTAATTTTGTTTTAGGGGGAAGAGACCTTGAGGACTGAAGATATCCTGGCTGTAATTGAGAAGGAAGGGGACTCTATTGCTGTCATTCTGTTCAGTGGGGTGCAGTACTACACGGGACAGTTGTTTGACATCCCTAGAATAACAAGGGCTGGCCAAAAAAAGGTAGGACTGCTCCAGATGTGTCATTTCCATACCAATTTTAGATCAGCTTTCTCTGTGAAATCAGTTGTTCTTGGTTTGTTTTGTTTTTTTTTTTTTTTTTTTTGTTTTTTTTTTTTTTTTTTCGTTGTTTTTTTTTTTTTTCCCCATCAAATTGAATTTAAATTTGTAGGTCTCTGGTAAAATGTGAAAGCACTCTGTGCTCAGACCTTTGGGGACTGTGTGCTGCATGAAGAAATAGCCCTGTGGGAGCAATCTTTCAGGCAGATGAATGTTAAACTATTTGGAAAAGGTAATTAATGACTATTAATTTTGACATGGCTTTTCTTGAAGGGTAGAATACCAAGAGCATCAGTGAAGGAGGAGGAGGAGGCAATCACAGCTCTAACTTGTCTTTGAAAGTTAGTTTGTGTAAGATTTCTGAGCTTTTTCTGAACTTTTCCAACATGAGACTTGTATGATTTTCCTCCTTTCCTGTAGCTGTGTTCTGGCAGATTTTGCCCCCCCTGAGCAGGGGGGTGAGATCCCCACAGAGCCAGCACTGCTCAGACTCCACTGATGAGTTTTCTGGAGACAGGCACAATGTGGAGCACATCGACATCACAAGATGAGTGTATTTTAGTGATGACTCCGCCTTCAGATCTTGCAGGCAGTGTGTTCTGTGGACATAGCTGTAAAACTCTTTAACCATCTCAATTGCCTTAGGAATCCAGGAGAAAATAGTTTTTAATTAAGTTGTCTTATCAACAGGAGGTCACCAGACTTTCCATGCTGGCAGCCTTTTACTGGGTGCAGCTTATCTCATACAAGATTAAACCACTGAAGGGTAAACTTATTTGGTATCACTGGGTTTTTGACAAACCAGCTAACTCTTTATATTTAATGGTTTAACTTGCTGGAGAGGTTCCTGCCTCACAGCACACTGTACATCTTCTGTAGCTGTAGGTTTGGCAGTGGAATTTTTTCTGGACGTCAGGGCATAAGTTATGCTGATGGTAAGAGATGGTAAAGTCCCCCCTGGGAGAGTAGAGCAGGTGTGAGAGCTGGTGCAGGGCCCGTGGGATGTAAAAAGGGAATGTTCTCACAGAGCAGCACCTGGTGTTAAAACCCAGTGTTAAAAACAGCACAAAACAAAACCAACTTCTGAAAGGGATGTGGAAAAGCAGGGTGAAAAGAAATGCGGGGAATCAGCTGCAGGGGAAGTGGGTTTGTGCAGGAGCTCCAAAAGCAACACTGCCATGGTGCTTTCCTGGAGTGTCTGCCAGCACTTTGCTGACCACAAAAAAAAATCACAATTCCACCGTACTGGAATGTTAGAAAGGGAAGACAGGTTATTAACAGGACGATGCCACCCACTGCTCCACACTCTCTCTCTCCTGGTGGCAGCAGAGCTGCCAACACCTACATGTCTTCAGTGCTGCTTCCCAGAAAGCCGCTCCGTGATGTGTCTGAAAGGTGTCTGAGAAAGAGAGAGAGAAATCTTCCTTCCTTTCCATAAAGATGAACAACCTGGGAAAAACCTATCGCCTTACCACCTCTCCAAAGATGCTCTCTGGACTGTCGGCCGCAGACTTGGATATGTGGAAGAGATGCAGTTTCACTGATAGCTCTAAACTGCCCCAAAGTGGTGTTCTGGGAGAGAGTAGGCACTCACAGTTTATTACACAGAGGGAAAATGGATTTGGTGTTTATAAAATCTGAGGAGATAACCAGGACTTGATGAAGAAAAATTAAAATTTCTGCAAGGGAAGTGCAAATAATAATATTATTAACTCAGAGATATGGGCTTCCACAGGGATGAATACAAAAATGCCACACACTTTACCCAGAGACTGTATCATGTTCCTCAAGAGGAGAACAATTTGTGACAGCAATTCAGCATTCCAGCAGGAACAGGTAGATGTCAAAGGCCTGTTTCCATCTGAATGCCTGTTAGAAATGACATAATGTAGACATGAATCTCTTCTTCCACAGATTTTTCAAGAGAGAGAAAAAAACCCCATCAAATTGAATTTCTAGTGGTTTGAATATGCAGGGTCAAGATCCAGGTAGATTAATGAACTAAAATATCATTAGTTTACTGAAAAAGCAAAATTAATTCAACCTGAAGAACTGTTTGAGTACCCTTAAGGCTTGAAAAGCGTGAGCCAGCCGTGTTTTTATTTCCCTCCTGTCAGAAACACTCAGCTCAATGTCCTTACAGATTCTGCCCACAGGTTAAGTGATGTTTATATGTTTATACAAACCCTCCATGTAAGAAACTGTTAGACCACACTTCAGCATCTGGGTATGACAAATATTTACATGAACAGCCACAAAATCGTTGATTCATGAAGTGTTTCTGTTGGTAAGAAGCATTTCTGTTCCCTGCTGCTTATCTTGGACTCAGGGCTTCTGGTTATCAAAATGTCTGAAATGTGGGGCTTTCAAAAGAATTGGCTCCTCTCCTTTTTTCCCAGGCCAAAGCTGGGGTTAGGAGCTGCTGTTGGATTAGAGGAAAACAAAACCAACTGCTGAAGCAGAGTCATTAGCATCTATGTATCTATACAGGTCTTTAATTGGACTTACCATATCTCCTTCAAGAGCTTCTGGACCTGATGAATCCAGAATTGTTTTCTAGTCAACATATTATCACAGATAAGCTGAAAGTTCTTTTAAGAGCAGATAAGACTGAAAAATCATGATTGTAGCAAAAATGCAAGGCTCTCCTTCCCAGGGATGAAGGGTGGTGAATGACCCTGCACTCCTGAACAGAAAATAGGTTGGGGAGAGCTGACAAGCAAACGAGTCAGAAAGGGAAAATACAAGGTGAAAATGTTATTTGAGAAGAAGAGAGGAGAAAAAAAAATCACTTGTCAGCCGGTATGTCAGAGAGAAAAGTCCTATACAGATGGTCTTAATAATTCTTTTAATGTACTATTGAAATAAAGTCCCACAGTGTTGTGTCCTATCAGGGCTTGGCTAGAGATTTGAGCTGTGAGCTCTGGAGGCCTGGAAAATGTCCTAAGATTCTTGAGGTCAATCATTTACGAATTAAGTTACTGATTTCCTTTTACATTTTTTAAGCCAATTTCCTAAGTTCTCTGCGTACATTAAGATTCCTCCCGGAGTGAAAGCTCTGCACATAGACAGCTTCATTAACTCATTAAATATTAAATGAACTAAATTAAGCTTGAAAAATTACCTCAGGCTATTTTTCCATCTAAGGTCTCTCAGATAAATCGAAATTACTACGTATTGTGCAAGAGACTCATCAGCAGGCTGAAGAGGATGTAACAGTTTTCCTTGTTTCATACTTTCAAGCTTGCTCTAGAGGATGGAGGAGGCTGAGTTGTTTTATTCTTCTACAAGTGAAGAAATGGCTGACTTTTAGGAGACTCTACCTTTCAAACACAATTTTCATTTCATAAGTTATATCGTACTTTCCACTGACTCTGTACAGTTATGTAAAATATTTTAATCTCTTGAGTCCCAGTAGGAAGAGCTTTAAGATCCTTCATTTCTTTTCCTGTCTCTCTTTCTAAATGTCCCAGCTTTGCTGGCGTGAAGCTGTCATTTCTCTCCCTCTCTCCAAATGTCATTGTCCATGCTGAGTTGTTACCTGCTGGTTATCAGCAGCTACCCAGACACTTGGCAGAAATGACTTTTAGATGTTAGAATAAAACAGAAGAGGCAGGGGAGAGCACATGTCCTCTCCTTTGCCCGGAGCAGATGGAGAGCTCTGTTTCCCCCCAGTCTGGGGAGGCGCCGTTCCCACACAGTCCTGGTTCTGCGTGGCTTGTGCAGGGAGAGCTGCTTCAGTTTGTTTTACTTTTTCCATGCAATCTGTGTGGCTAAACATTTGCTGTTTGTGTGACTCAAGTGCCAGACACCTCCCTGGGAAAGCAAACCAGCACAACCCATCTTGCAGATGACGACTCGAACAAACTGGTGCGAGTGGGCGTTTCTGAGACGATGCAGGAACCCTGCCAGCGCTGAACCCGAATTTCCCATGCCTCAATATTGTTAAACAGTGCCCAGTAGGATCTGCCAACCAATTTCAAAGTGGTGAGGAGCAGCTAAAGGAGTTTAGAAGGATGGCCCATGGGTGTTATGTCAATGACCTTCCTTTTTGTTCAAGCTGATCTGTTGCGGCCGCTGTCAGTGCCCAAGAACATTTGTCCATGTCAAGGTCACGTGTGTGGACGTGGTTGTGGAGCCTCGTTACTGTGAGGGCACCCAACTGTCCCAAGGTGTCTCCTCCTTTCTTCCACCCACTGTATTTTCATAATTTGATATTATGTGGTTGAACATAATGTTTTATAGAGTATATGGTGTACTGACAAGGAAAGGACACCTGGTTTTGGCACATGATTTCTAGAATAAATTTCTTACATGCTTTTTCTTTATAAGCAACTTCCTTTTTTTTTTGGGGGGGGGGGTTGGTTTTTTTTGTTTTTTTTTTTTTCTTTTTTTGTTTCAGTTTTATAAATGTACAGCCAGACGCACACATTCTGCAAGATCCTCACCTGTTATTCCTGGTTTCCACTGAAACCAGTGCATCTGTCATAGAATTGCTTCCAACAGTTTCTGTGGGATGTATGTACCTGTTAAGGTTTAAATCCAGTCAATTGAAGTTTTGAAGTTGATGCCTTAAAACCCTATGAGAACCTCCTCATTCATTGGCAATTGACTTTACTTTGCTGTAGCTTATTTCTCTGATCCAAAGCCATTTTATCCCTGAATAGGAGCATTCCCATCAGAATTCAGCGTGTCCCAGCCTCTCTGCATTAGCTTCACCATGTCAGTTGATTTCTCTTAACTCAGTTCTCTGTGTCCCTGTGAAATCAAGCCACCACCGCTGTTTATTGGGACTCTAGTTCCAACATTTAGATCATGCAAATGCTATGACAATGAGTTTTCTTCCCATCGTTTTGGAGTGACTTTTCAAGCTGATAACTTCACAAATGTCTCCATTAGAATTAACGTGTCACATCTTCTTAAAATGCTGCTCTGTACAAATTGTTATCTAGTTTATACAGAAGATTAAATATACCAAAGTACTGCTTAAATAATTTAGCTAAGACTCTCTCCATGCAAGAAACAGCAGGAGATTCTTAAAAAACCCCTTTGTTTTATTATTGGACGTTGATTTTTCTGAAGCCTGTGCTCTCACTCTTATTCCTACCCTGCTGCTTGCAAGCAAGCTGTTTGTGTTTTAAAAGCAAAATGTAAAATAGCATTTAATTTGTAGTCCAGGCACAAAAAGCAGTTTTATTTCTCTGCTCTTAAATAAATAGCAAAGCTTAGAATAACTTTTTAGTTTAAAAATGCTGCCATCCAGTGGTTATTTCGTGTGTAAAACTCATACTTTTAGATCTAGAAATCTCTTGGTCGTTCGATATTGGGGTATTTCCCCCCACTTTTTCCCAGTGTCCTGTGAAAATTGTGGATATGGCAAATACAAGGCTTTTCACAGAGAAAAGACAGATTCCTTCTTTTTAAAGACAAGTATGAAAGTTCCTAAAGATCAAGGCATTGCATAAGCTGCTATCTCATCCATTTGGATTCCCAAAGTCAAGGCCGTCCTTGTTTAAATACCAGGGACACCTTGAGCATGAATATATATTGAAATGTAATTGTTCATGGGTAACTGGCATCACTATGACCATTACTGCTTTGTCTCTGCCTGGGGGTTGTTGTGCCATACAGGAAGAATTTGTATTGATACATTTGTTCTCAATACTCATTTCAAGTGATTCCACTTCCCTGCACAATCAGAACCTCAGAAGTCTAAACACTATCCAAGCATCCCTGAAGACAAATCACAGAAAAATTGGTGATCTCTATGTGCGTGTATCTGTAGAAAACTTCCAGTAATCTCTAAGAACAGATAGGACTTGATAGATTAATCATAGAAGGGTTTGGGTTGGAAGGGACCTTAAGGATTGACTTGTCCCACCCCCCTGCCATGGGCAGGGACACCATCCACTATCCCAGGTTGCTCCAGGCCCAATCCAACCTGCCCTTGAACACTCCCAGGAATGGGACATCCACACTTTCTCTGAGTAACTTGTTCCAGTGTCTCACCACCCTCACAGAAAAATATTTCTTCCTAACATCTAACCTAAATCTCTCCTCTTTGAGTTTAAATCCATTCCTTATCCTATCACTCTGTGCTTCTGTAAAAAAATCTCTAGGTAGCCTGCACATACTGAGAGCAAGTTAAGCTCTGAAGGACTTATTTCAAAATAATATCACAGTGATGATTATCTTAATAAGTAACCTCATAATCATCTCTTTCCTGCAGGGATGCCTTGTTGGATTCGACCTGGCTCACGCTGTTGGGAATGTAGAGCTTCATTTGCATGACTGGGGAGTAGATTTTGCTTGCTGGTGCTCCTACAAGGTAAAACAGATTCGTGGCTGGAGACCATTTTCCATAATGTCACTTATCTCATGGGTCAGCACACAGGTCAGGCGATAAGACCTGCACCTGAACAGTGAGCAAGACTTGGCTGAATCTTTGAATTCTCCACAACAAAGAGATGGACACTGACTTTAATGTGCCTTTGTTATGAGTGGGTGCAAAAAGTGGCATGACCTACAAGGTCTTGTGGATGTGGGATGGATGATGGTGATGGTTAAACATCTGCCCTGTAGACCTGGGATCAGGGGCTCTTCTCTTATTTCTCACACCAAGAAGGTCTCACAGCTGTAGTATTTTATGAAGTGGTCCCTAAATAAGAAAATATTCTTGTCTAAACTTTAATAATTTCAGATCACAGAGCCAAGGTATCTTTAGTTCCTTTGACTCCTAGTGAGATTAAGACTTGTCAGACATAGTCAGATTAATTGTTTGATGACTTTGCTATACTGTTTCAGATGTACTTTAATTTTCTGGCCTCTTAGACTTCAAATACCGTACATAAGCCAAGAGAGATACTTCAAAAACTAATCTGAAAAAAGATATCTGCTTTTATCTCCATCAGCACTTTGTGACAAATGCTAAGATCTCCATCTAGAAACCACTAGAAATGTTAAAATTGGTTTGTTTTATAGATCAGGGTGAGGGAAGGAAAGTGATATTTTACAGATAATGAACACGATATATACATGTTGATTTATTCTTTGCAGTATTTAAATTCTGGAGCAGGAGGCCTTGCTGGTGCCTACATTCATGAAAAGCATTCCAAGACTATTAAGCCAGCGTAAGTATTTTTTCTAATAATAAATTCCCAAATATAAGGTTCTGTGAAGTTTAAATGGGAAAGCAGCTCCCCTTTCAGAATTGAGATATGAAAGTGAACTTGTGTCGATTCCTAGCCATAGAATATGGGTATGTCCATCTATGCTTATGTGTATAGAAACAGAAGAAAAGTCCTATTTCAATAAGAACTCATTGGGGTGATATTTATCTGTTACTGATTTATTGCTTCAATGAAAGGGGTAGTAAACATTTAGACAATTTAGTTATCTGACTTTGTTACTTCAGATGGGTTGCTTTACACTAACTTTAGTAAATTTTGAAATTGCAAATGCACATGCTTACATCTAAAATTAATTTCCTCCTTTAAGTCTGCTATCAGTTCTTAACTAAACAGAACCATAAAAGAGAGTGTTGGTAATATTTAAAACAAGCATCCTAAATCATGTCTATGAGGCTGCTTAATATAAAGAGAATATTTAACATCTTCCTTTAAAAATGGATTTTAAATAATCATTGAAGTCTTTGGTTGGTGAACAAAATCAAAGACAGTTTCAACTCTGTGCCTAATAGCTCTTTAGTAGTGGCATGTTTTCATTAAAATTATATCCACTGGTAAAGCTAGGAAGTATTACACGGAGATCTGTTCTGAAAGACTGTATAATCCATGGAAAGCTGAGCTATCAGCTGAGGTTAGCTGCATTAACAAAAATACCTGTTATTTAAACCATTTTATGGCTATACTCTGTATATTAAGAAAAGTGGGATAAATAATTTTAATGCACTGACAAATGTAAACATTTCTGGCTGTAATGCTTGGAGGAATTGCTGGCACTTCCTTTTATTTTAGCTTGAAGAACGCAAACTAAATCAGGTTCCAGAGACAAATAATATTATAATAAGCAGCTTTGCTGCACTGTGTGCTGGTTTCAGACTGTCTAGACTCCCAGGAGATAACAAAGTGATGCTGATAAGTTCTTTTCAGTCACCCATAACAGAAAACTCATTAGGATGACATATGACCTGTTGTGAGCTGATGTGAGCGTGGGCAAAACTTACTGGATATCTGGATATTCCTTCTGGAAAGGCTTTTTCCTGCTTCCCCTGTTGCCAGATGCAGGCATTGCTCCCATGGCCAGGCCTGGTTGTGTGGCTACCACGGTTCCTGGTTGTGGGCAACTGGGAAGATACTGAACTGTGGAAAAAATGTGAAAAATTACAGAACAGCTATAGGTGGAATGAATTAAATATCAAGAACCTTCAGTCTTTTTTTCCTCCTTGATCACATTTTGGAACTTTTCTGAGGATACTAGCTTGGTATTGTAGGTAAGAGTATAGATTAGTTTTCCCTGAACCAGCTCCTTCATACATAGTCATTAATTTGTGCACTGAATCTGGATATTGAATATCTTAAATGAAATTACCTATATGGAATAGGCTTTTCCAGCTTGGGGACAAATTAGATATAATTCCAAACTTCCTGCATCCACTCTCTGCATTATTTAATCATAGTTATTTCATATTTCCCAAGATTTGATAATCACTCATCAAATTGTTTGTAGTTCCTATGCCCCTGTTGCACTACTATTCTTTCTTTCCTGCAGCAACCAGCCAATTCAGGTCTCCAAATAAGGCACTGAGACAAAGGAGAATTTGTCTATGTCAAAGTATTCAATTGTATAGCTGATTTAAATGCAGAGCAATTTGCTGCATGTTGTACAATCAAATAGAGTGGAATTTAACTGCTGGGGAAGTTGCATGCTCTGTGCTGTAGCTGCAGAGTTTCTGGCTGTCAACTGAATCAAGGATGACACCCAGTGGCCACACAATTTCAGTCAAGAACAGAGGCACCAACCACTTATTTCTTTGCACTCAGCCCACACATGAGCAGGAAATTAAACTCCAATCCAGCTGACACCCTTTTGTCGTGTGAGCTGTCTGTTCTAACTCATGGCTGGTTTTGGGTGAGTCACTTTTTACTCACTTATATAAATTTTTCTAATTTGTCTCATCCTTCATATTTCCTGCAAGTTATCGACTAGGTAGTCATTTTAATATGGAAATAATCTATTGTGTCTTAATGGGAAAATGTGTGTTCTGACAGTAATTCAGGGAGGCAGAACATTTGTCTTTTACTGTCTGAGGCTGGGGCAAAAAGGACTTGCTGAAAATAAAACAGCTTGGTCCAAAATTTCATTTTTAAAGCCCCCAAACCCAGCTACTCCATATCACCAAAGGAATTTAGGTATTTTGGTTTAACTTCTCCTAAATTTGTCAGTATGCCTTGTCTTATGTCAAGTTTAAGAAATGGGGCTCTTCTCCAGCTGCTCCCTTCAACAACAAAACATTTATTTGCGGCTTTCTTTTAAAATGCAACTTGGGATAGAATAGTTAAAGTACTTAATAGCCGTAAGGCTATTATCACTACATGAGGCCATGCCAGAGCTGTTTTCTGCTTTGGGGCTGCCTCGCTGCAAACCTCCACAACCCAGATCTGATGTAAATCAGTAATACCTTGACATGTCCTAGCAGACAAAAGGCAAACGAGTCCCACTCTTCTTCATGGAAGTACAAGCTTCCCACAAGAGTTATAAAGTTGGGAATTCAGTATCTGGGGAAAGGATTTATGCCTGAGGGCAGGGGGTGATAGAATCTCTTATACCCTGCTGTGGTTTTGTGTCATTGCATACACCACCCTTCAGTCCTGCAAACACCTTGGCTTAGCTTGGGATGGTTCTATAATTCACTGCAGGGGCCATGGGTCTAAAAGTGACATGTTGTAACCAGCCCAGTAACATCTCTACCCAAGCATTTGCTAGTACCCATCTTTGTCCTTAGAGCAGCAAAACTGAATCAATCTGACATATATGGGTCTGATCTAGCCCCATTCTCCCATGATCTCACCTCCCTTGAAGTCTCTCTTAATACTCAAATGGCTTTTTTAATACCTGCTCTACATATCACAATGCAATATATTCCTGGCTAATTGTGTGAGAGTGATTTCTTTATGGGAAGGTTTCAAATAAAAGAAAAGGACCTGGAGAGAGCAGAGCTATGAAATACTACTGAAACCATCAGGTCAATGCAAGCTGAACCTGTGCCACCAGGTTTCCATGTAAGTGTTGCAGGGGGGAGGTTTCCAACACACAGAGAGCATCAAAGTGACCTACTAATACTGAAATTTTGCTTGTCTAGCTGTTTGAGCTCCAGAAAAGTTTCCATTTTAATTTTTGAAATTTTTTACTCCCTCCCTAATTCTCCATTTATAAAAAGGACAACTTGAATTCCCAGGCAATTTAGCAGTAATGAAACGTGAATGTTTGTGAGCACCTGGGGGAGAAGATGTTTCAGTCAGGTGTTCCCAGCAGGGTGTTTGCAGCTGTAGATGGGCAGTAGGCTCGGCTCTGCTGTCAGGGGGTGAAAGGGACAGGAAGAGACAAATTTGCAGAGCCCTGAGACAGCAAACTAAGCAAAAGTAAGGCACAATTTAAACAGATGAAAGGGAAATAAATGTATGTAAAGCAGTCAGGAAAATAATAGATAAACCCTTGCAGAGGATTAAATGAAAACTGTACAGTGTTCAAAATGAAGGGATTTATCAAGACTTTAGCCCACACTAGCAGCAGGTAGTGTTTAAAAGTAAAAAGTTTCTGTGATGTGAAGAAATGCTGCATGCGCAGGAAGCAGCTGATGTCCAAAGAATGTGTTGGCTTTTACCATAGGATAAAGAAAAAAAAAAAAGTTGAAAAGAGAAAGAAGCAAAAAGGTAACAATTTTATATTAGCTTTGAGGAACAAAAGGCATCTTCAACCAATTTCTTTACAGGCAGAGGTGAGACATCAGCTCTTCTGCTTACGCTATTTCCCCTTTTGGTATTTTGATGCCAATGAAAATGCCAGAGCACAAACAGCTTCCTGCTACTCCTTTATAGAGAACTGCACAGCTTTTTTGGTATGTGAACTCTAACCCTTGTATCAGACAAACAGAAATATGCTACTCCAGCTTTTTATACTTTTCCCTTCCCATTTTCCCCAGGTGCTCTGGATCCCCTTCCTGCTCCAGTGCAAACCTTCTCTCTCCAGTAACTGTTGTGCAAGAGGTTACTCTACACCTTCTAGGACTGGTAGCTCCCTCTGAGTTTTTCTTTGCTCATTTTCTTGATTTCTGAGGAGATATCACATTAGCCTTTTTGAATCAGAGTCACATAATCCCCAAAATAAAGATCAGAATCTTCTGTAAAACTGCTGAAAATAATGTAACTTTGGAGAAATGTGAGTTGGAAGGAAAGGACATCATAAAATGATTTGGAAGGTTGTTTTACTGTACTGGAAAGAACTAATGCTGATCTTTAGAATGCTTCTAGGAATCATGGGGTTATGGAATGATTTTGGTTGGGAGGGACCTTAAAGCTCATCTCTTTCCAACCCCTCCCATGGCAGGGACAACTTCCACTATCCCAGGGTGCTCCTAGCCCTGTCCAAGCTGGCCTTGGACACTTCCAGTGATCCAGGGGCTGCCACAGCTGCTCTGGGCACCCTGTACCAGGGCCCAGAGAAGCTGTACCCTGTCACAGTCTGAGTGAAGAAATTCATCCTCACAGGGAAGAATTTCTCCACTCAGACTGAGTCTTCTACTCAGACTTTACTCAGATAATAGGCCAAGATGGTCTATTTCACGCTGACCACTTGAATTTGTCTCCTCTGAGCATCTCAGCACTACTGAAAGCTTTGTCAGAACAGAGCACCTTGTCCTGGTCAAGGAGAGGATGTGGAGAAGCAGCACAGAGACTCGTAGGGAAGCTGTGCTGAGTGCAGCCAGGTGGGAAAGTCAGTGGTGACAGATGGCAGTGAACATGCTGCTGTTTCCAGAAGGGTTCTCCCTGGTCCTACTGGACTCAGATTGTGGGCTAATGTAAATAAACTACTCGTGCAGTGAACACGTGTCCCCCGAGTGCATGAAGCATCCTGTGCTAAGGTAGAAATGAACTGTTGCTTTGCCAAGGAG